AAGGCATTGACAATCATCAAGTGACCAATGTTACAATTGCCACTTGTGCCGGCCTCACCATGACTCAGCGCGGTCCTGCTATTGTAATCATGAACCAGTTTGCTCACATTGGAAAGGGACAGTCAATTCTTTCCAGTGCTCAGATGGAACACTTTGGGATTCAAGTCGATGACAAATCATCTAAAGTTGGAGGCAAGCAACAGATCTCCACTCCTGATGGTTTTGTCATCCCACTTGACATCAAGAATGGACTTCCGTACCTACGTATGCGCCCTTCAACAGACCGTGAGCTGAGCAACCCGGACATTCCCCATGTGGTTCTCACTTCTGATGTTGATTGGGACCCTAGTGTCTTGGATGTTACCATTGATGTGGATGAATGGGCCAAGACTATACCAGACGATGGGTCTGAAGAATGTGAAAGGCCATTTGATAGGGTAGGCATCCTCAAGAGCAATACAACAGTCACTACACTGAGGGATTCTCCTGCTCTGGATGATGCCATTGACTTCTTTGAATCCCACCACTGTGTCATGCCGACCGATGGTTTGTATGAAGTGCATCCCCGACAAGCTTCAGATCTTGATTGGTTTGAGTGCAACATGGCTGAGCTATTTGATTTAGACCCCACCTATGTGACACCAGTCATACCTCCAGAGTTTGAAGTTTACGAGTCCCATCGACGACCATCTGTTCTCTTTGTCCCTGGCACCTATCGATTTTGACATTGAGTCTACTCCACTGCAAGACAAGATCATAGACTCTTCTCACAAGTCCTCATACTCGGAACCCCAACGCAGCTCACGCCGCAAGACACGTTCTGAGGATGGGAGATGGAATCCAAAGGACAAAACTGAACAACCAAGCCCGCCGCCACGTGACCCAAATGCCTACGAGTCGGTCCCTGTAGTGGAACCTGTCTACAAGAACCCGAGCTCAGCAGTAAAATCGCGTGAACGTGACTGGGAACGCCTTTGCAAGTACTTTGCTTGGCTACCCAAGCTGGTTATTCAGAAAACATTTGACTGTACCACACAACTAGCACGAATACCTATGAGTGCACACCTACAGCGTCATTACCGTTCTCCGTTTCCAGCCCTCAATGTCAACCGCCGTAGTGAAGGAGTCGCTACAGATACTGTCTATGCAGACACACCCAACATTGAACATGGTCATGTAGCGGCACAATTCTATGTGGGGATCTCCTCTCTTGTCAGTGACGTATATGGTGTCAATACCGATGCACAATTCCTTCAGACACTCAAGATAATGTACGAAAACAAGGAGCACCCAACAAACTTGTGAGTGATTGTGCGCAGGCTGAGGTTTCCAAGGCAGTGAAGGACTACCTCCGATGGCTCTGCATTGATGATTGGCAGAGTGCACCACATCGTCAGAACCAGAACCCGGCTGAACAAAGGTACCAAGACATCAAGCGACTGGCCAACAGGATTCTAGATCGAACTGGAGCACCTCCAAGCCTTTGGCTTTTGGCACTTTGTTACGCTTCTTTCGTCTACAACCACACTGCTGTGCAGAGCTTAGGATGGCTGACTCCCATCCAAGTGCTCACTGGCATTACTCCAGACATAAGTGTTCTTCTCCGCTTTGCATTTTATGAGAAGGTCTACTATAAAACGGAGGAACCCAGCTTCCCTTCTGATTTGCCTGAATCCATTGGTTATATGGTAGGCATTGCCGAGCATGTTGGTCATGCAATGACATATAAGATCCTCAACCCAGAGACAAACAAAATCATGTTTTGGTCTGAGATCCGCTCTGCAGCCTCACCCAATGACCCCAACAAACGTCTTGATCCACCTGATGGGGAGGAGTTGCCATCCCCTACAGTTACAAACGTCTTGATCCACCTGATGGGGAGGAGTTGCCATCCCCTACAGTAATCAAATCCAAATCAGACAATGTCAAATCTGTTGTTTACTCTAGTGATGATGAGTCAGATGAAAAGGACGTTGTTGTCAAGAACAAAGATCTCATCGGTCGTACCTTTCTCATGCAACCCAATGAAGAAGGACATGTACATCGTGCCAAGATTGTGGAACTCATTGATAAGCACAATGACAAGACAACCAACAACCCAGCACATCTCAAATTCCGTGTCAGTATCAACAATGATCAGTATGAAGATGTGATGGCCTACAATGAGATTTTGGAGAGACTGGAAGCTGATGAAGAGAACCCAATTGTTTGGAAGTTCAGGCGAATCGTGTCACATCAAGGACCACTTCAACCTGATCATCCATCATATATGGGTTCCACTTACAATGTAGCAATGGAATGGGAGAATGGGGAGATAACCCCAGAACCACTGAGTATCATTGGAGCCGATGACCCAGTGGCCTGTGCCATCTACGCAAGGGATAACAACCTACTTGAAACCCCTGGTTGGAAGCGTTTTAAAAGCATAGCAAAGAGAGAGAAGAAGCTTCTTCGCATGATCAACCAGGCCAAGCTTAGATCATTCTGTACTGCACCAAAGTACATGTACGGTTACAAGATACCAAAGGACTATAATGATGGACTTCGACTTGACAAACTTCACGGCAATACAAAATGGGCGGATGCCACCAAGGTTGAGATGGACCAACTAGCAGAGTACAAGGTTTTTATAGATTTGGGAAAAGGAACTCCTATTCCAAAGGGTTTCCAAAAGATTCAAGTTGACCTAGTCTATGCCTGCAAACATGATGGTAGACACAAGGCCAGACTTGTCGCTGATGGGCACCTGACCGATGTACCAGTAGACAGCGTCTACTCTGGTGTGGTATCCATACGTGGACTGAAGATCATGATCTTCCTTGCTGAATTGAATGGCCTGGACCTATGGGCCACAGATATTGGTAATGCCTACCTTGAGGCCTACACTAAGGAGAAGGTAGCTGTAGTAGCCGGACCGGAGTTTGGGGAGCTACAAGGCCATACTCTTATTGTGTCAAGAGCACTGTACGGATTATGTTTGAGCGGAAAGATGTGGCATCAAAGATTTTCTGCCTGTTTGAGAGAGGAAGGGTTCTTTCCTTGCAAGGCAGAACCGGACATCTGGATGAGACCGTTACCGGATGGGTCATCATATGAATATGTTGGCGTATATGTTGATGATCTGGCCATGGCAATGAAAGACCCAAAAGCTTTTGTGGATAAACTGATCAATGTCTACAAATTCAAGCTTAAAGGTACCGGACCACTCACTTTCCACCTGGGATGTGATTTTGGAAGGGATGAACATGGCGTTCTTTACATGAGCCCCAAGAAATACATCGAGCGCATGGTAGACAACTACGAGCGCATTTATGGAGAGAAACCAAAGACAAATGTAACCTCACCTTTGGAGAAGGGAGACCACCCTGAGTGTGATACCACTGATCTATTGGATCCAGAGGGCGTCACTCAATACCAATCCCTGGTTGGCCAGCTTCAATGGGCCATTTCCTTGGGGAGACTGGACATAGCGACTGCTGTCATGTCCATGTCAAGCTTTCGTTCTGCCCCTAGAGTAGGACACCTCCACAGAGTGAAACGAATTTGTGGATACCTAGTGAAGATGAAGCACGCTTGCATTCGCTTCAGGACTGGAATGCCTGACTATACTGATGTCCCTGAACCTATCTATGAATGGGCAGACTCGGTGTATGGATGCCCAGTTGAAGAGATCCCAGATGATGCACCAACACCACTTGGACTTGCTGTGATTCTGACACATTATGTGGATGCAAATCTATATCACTGTATGTTAACAGGTCGCTCAGTCACAGGCATCCTGCATTTGATCAATGGGACTCCAATTGATGCTTCCTCCAAGAAGCAATCTACTGTTGAGACTGCCACATACGGATCTGAATTTGTCGCTGCAAGGACTTGTGTTGAACAGATCATGGATCTGCGATACACATTGAGGTATCTAGGTGTACCAATCCAAGGTCGAAGCTACATGTTTGGAGACAATGAATCTGTTGTGAACAGTTCATGCAGACACGACGCAAAACTCCACAAGCGACATGTTGCACTGTCATTCCACCGTATAAGGGAAGCTGTCGCATCCAACATGCTTTCATTCATTCACATGGATGGTGACAAGAACCCTGCAGACATCCTCAGCAAACATTGGGGATATCAACAAGTTTGGCCGCAGCTCCGTACCTTACTGTTCTGGCAAGGAGACACCGTTGACGAGGGATAGGTCACTTCATCCCATTTGGGGAGTGACAGAATTCTATCAGGAACGGGACTTGTGACCGGGATCATGATCATTCACGGTTGAAATGAAGCCTGTGCTTTGTACATATTGTACGTGCGCAGACTGTTCTCAGCCAGTAATATTATCGTAGAAAGAACCGACGTGGCAGGTTCCGCAATCATGCGTAATATTCTGCATGAAACAAGCGAGGATTGCCCAATCCTCACTGAATGCTTTTTACTTGAATTGATATCGATCAACTTGTAGGAACTAGTCAACTATAGGCTTATAGTCTATTTTCATTTATTTCTGTCACCTTGACGTCGCCGAAGCCCTCTCGCCGTCGGTTCCTTTTTGGACCAAGCCACTCCCAGATGATGTATGCCGAGTGACAACTCAGCCACTGCATGGGTTAGAGGAGATTGTGATCTTGGAAGTGGGCCTGGAGCATCAGTCTCCGCGACCAGTTCCCCAACCGTCCTTATTCACTGCATGGGAAACAGCATCAGCAGAAGGTGACGAGTATTTTGGATGGACCCCCAAGGAACTTGAGATTGTCGGTGATGAAGGACGGCTGGTGGAGGCCTTACTGTCTGGCCATCTCTGCGTCATAAGCGACGGATCATACAAGCGAGACCTGGGAACGGCGGCTGTACAACTACTCCCAAGAAAAGGGGAGAAGGACCGCATCATTGTTCGGTGCCAGACTCCTGGACCAAAGCGCCTATTGGAGTGAACTGATCAGCCTGCTCGCAGGCATCATGGTTGTTGACTGGTTGCTACACCAGTGGGCGCCGACGCTCCAATCTAAATGCCGCGTCAGGATTGCGTGTGATGGGTTTTCCGCCCTTCTCAATAACTCTAGCGATAATCGAGTCACTCCCCAACAGCCGCAGTTTGACCTGGTCTCTTCCCTCCGCGAGGCCCTTGCGCGCTCCAAAGCATCGTGGGCACCTTGACCATGCTACGTCCTTTTCGTCCCTGTCTTGGTGGTCCAAGGGGAATGTTGAAGTGGATAATTGGGCAGTGGCATACCGCCATCAGTTGGAGGCTTCTAACCAACTGATTGCACCCAATGCTCGCTTCTTTACTGAATTGGCCGCTCTCTATATCAGAGACGTTAAGCACTCTCGATTGGACCCAGACTACATCCAAGAGCTGGTGGCGCTTCCCGCCCTACGCAAGAGGTGGCGCGAGAAACTCACGGTCACCCCAGAGGCGGAGTCGGAAACCGACTGGACCAGTCTGGCCCGGGCAATGCGCTCTCTCCCTGCGGGCGTCCAACGCTGGACCACAAAGCACGTGGTGGGTATGTGCGGTGTCGGCAAGTTTAAGGTACGATGGGGATATGACACATCTGCTGCATGCCCATGCTGTGGCGAGTTCGAAGATCACCTACACATACCTCGATGCATGGCTCCATCCACCAGCGCTGAATGGGATCGCCAGACAGTGGCCCTGGAATTATGGCTGGACACTCAAGTGACAGATCCGGCCATCAAACATGCCCTCCTCTCCCTCCTTAAAGGCGTTTGCGATCCATCCCTCCCGTCCATCCGAGTGGTACCAGGTCGACTGCGTAGCGCCTTCCAATCCCAGCAATGCATTGGCTACCAAGGGCTATTGGAAGGAAGATTGTCCTGCCAATGGGCCCCGTTGCAGGAGGAATATCTGCAGTCGCGCGGGAGCCAACGCTCTCCGACCTTATGGGCCTCACGCCTCTTGCATCAGTTGATTTTGCTGGGCTTCCAGTTGTGGGCACATCGGAACTTGGTACAACACTTGGAGGACAATGTACAGTGACAAGAGCGCAGCCAACAGGTCAACGACGGGATACACAACCAGTTTGATATGGGTCCCACTGACCTACCTAAGGTTGTCCAACGCATGCTTTCGGTCAAGCGCCGGACAGTCTTGAACAAACCACTGGTAGATTGTGAGGAGTGGTTGAAGCTGGTGCGGATGGAATGCACGGCCTACCGCCGCGCTTTGGCGCCCCAACGCCGTATTCTTCATCGCTTCTTCCACCCTGCGGACCACTCCCCTTGAACAACGTTTCGTGGAAGCAACGCCCCAAAATCACCCCGCCACGCTGCGGGTAGAGTCCGAACCATCTGGTTCTGAATAGAGCAACTTCTGATTATCAGACGCCTCACATGGTTCAAACTTGTTGTTGACTCGCCGCTCCACAGTACTTGACCTTTACAGCCAACCATTCCACCGGCAATCGTATGCGCTATCTAGCATTTAATCGATTAATGTTTCAGTTATTAATATTATTTTTGGGCGACAAGGACACTGGCCTTGTCAATAAGTTCGGCCAACCCGATGGGTGGGACTCTGACAAGACAATTGACGACAACTCAAACGACAGGAGGAACGACATGGAAATAGACGGAGAACTTGATTCTGGTGACGATCGCACCCACAACGACGACGACAACAAGGGCGAGGTGGAGGAGGATGACGAGGATACTGATAAATCGACCAAGGATTCTGTCATTCTTGTGGAAAGTACTTACAAGCTTACGGATACTGCAAACGACAAAGACACCAACAACATGGGCCTGAATACGGATGAGGCAGTTTCCAAACTGACCGGTGTTACTGGTGAAGACAAGGACCCTGAATTGGCATCTCCGCCGAGGAAGAAGGGACGGTCCCACAGGGTTTCGGTGGTCGCTCCGTCTACAGAAATGGATGTGGACGGGAGCTCTTTGAGTGAACCCAGTGCTAAACGTACACATTCAGCGTCTGCTTCACAATCAACCACACCAACCGCACAAAAAACGGACACCACTTCCACGAAGCAAAGCTCTAAGGCCAAACGAAGACTACAACGCAGCTTGACATTGGAAGAACGCCTAGATGGGCTGCGACAAGTCAACTTGGACGGCATGGATGGTCAGGCTATCCTGGTTGAACTGGGAATGGCGTACAGCTATCAAGGTCAACAAGGGGGGAACACGACCCATGCCTCTATTATCTTGAACCATATTCTGGATACGCTGGCAGACGTCCTAAAGAACGCGGAGGAGACGATTCGCTTTCTTCCCTTGTCTGACAGCGCTTACAAGAAGTCTAAGCAGTGGATCCGAACGGAAGCGGATCTTCGACGGCTGATTCCCGATTACCGGAGCTTGTCCAAGTATCTGGACATGTCTTTCGGCAACATGTCATATGCCTCAACTTCTAATAAGCCAGGTGAAAAGAAGCTTCGAACAAGGATGAGAGTGGGTTTTGAGGTTGAGGTGGTGGCAGGAACGATTTGCCAATATCTACATGGCAAATTGCGTCCGCAAGGGTATGGAGCGGGATGCTATGAATTGGTTCTACAGTTTGGCGATATCGAGAAAATTGGGGCGCTGTGCTTCTATCCACAGGAGATTAACATCAGGGTCATGGAGAAAGAATTAATGTGACACTTTGACTGGAAGACGGTTATCGGCCTGCGGTACGAATGGGTAAACATTCCCTACAACGGCCACAGCGAATGGAATGAACAATCGCCCGGATGCATGATGTGGCCGTTTATGTCAGATCGAGGGACGCTAAGCGAGCGGATCGAGAACTACAATTATGGCTGCACCCGTCTACCCCTAAGAAAGATTTCCCATGGTGCGCGGTCACACACTACATTAGCGATTGGAAGGCTGCTCAGAACGGGACAATCAGCGTTAAGGCCGTGGGTCCGGTTAAGGATGAGAATCTCACTATGATCTCAAAGCATAACGACTTCGTGGAACTGACACAGGCCAAATATTGTCCAGTTGAGATTCCAGGGATGTTGAAACAGGCAACTACCAAAGCATATGGGCCTTGCACTTGTTTGTCTATGTTTCTTTCCATCAAAGCCCGACCTGTTCACGCGGAGAAAGTGGCAGCTGCGGATGTGAACTCGGATTCCGATTCTGATGACTCCTTGCTGGAGGACGTCTCCCGCAAGTTCACCAAAGTGACTGTCAAAGGGAAGACGAAGATCAAGAAGCAACCTCCAAAAATGGCCGTGGCACCAACTCTGGAGCATGACGGTCCGGTTCTCACCCCTGCGCAGCAGCGCCGTGCAAAGGAAGCGGAGAGGAAGAGAAAAATGGATTTGGAGAACAACATTCCTAGTCCCTTGTTCATCATGGTGTTACCAGGTGAGATGGAAGGGACCTACTTGTTCATCAGTAGGCTGAAATATGCTGCCTTGGCAATGAATGTACTGAATGGACTGGTCCCATTCTTTACGCATCATTTGGGGGAGTTGACGACTACTCAAGCTAATAGGGTGATTGCGAAGTGGCTGTCCATGTCTCTGATCCATACGACACGCCGCAAGGAACTTGTGTGGTGCTTGGAGACTTTACGGGCTCGACCATCGGACCAAACTCTACAAGGCATTGATGAAGCTATCGATTTCCTTGATGGATTTGGGTCTGACCCACTTGACGTCACCAAAGTTAAGCTAGAATTTGATATGGAAATGGCTGATGCAAAAGATACTGATGATGGAGCTACAGTAGCAGGCGCCATGGATGAGTTACTTGAGAAGGATAGCCAATTGGAAGCGGCAATCACTGAAATTGAGTTTAAGGAGAATCTTTTGGTTGAAACGAGCAGCGCTTTGAAAGCTGAACGAATTCGGTCTGAGTCCCTGGCCAACGAACTTGCGGCTCTGCGCCTCCTGCAACAGACTATTTTGAGCCATTAGGCGCAGCCGGCTTTGCCTCCCCAACCTGCAGCCACGGTTTCCTTTCCCCAGGACAGGTCAGAGTCAGCAGCTTCCGATTCTGCCGCGAAGGAGCCAACTCTGCCGGCTACTCCAGCGCAAGCAGTCAAGTCAAGTCCACTCACGGCTCCCCTACCAAGCTCGCCACCTCGGGCTACTACGGCCATCGCCAACCAACCTCCGCCTCGAGACACCACCGCTGCTGCTTCTTGGAGGGAACTTGTGACTCCGGATCACACAGCAAGGACGCTGTTGACCTCGGACCATAGCAATGCGTTGGACCCAGGCTCTGGTCTAGGGTCCTCTACTCCGTCTCTGGCCAGTTCTCGGGTCTCTGACAATCCCTCGGATGGTTCCCCATCCCCGGTCTTCCCCATCTTCCGTCATCCTCAACACTCTCCTCCTTCTGACCGTACTAAGCGTAAACGAAGGAAGAAGAAGCCATTGGCCAGCCGTGGAGCCTCCCGCTCCATGTCTTGGTTCGGTCAGCGTGGCCACCCACGTGTTGTTCGGCCCAGGAGATGTTGGAAACTCGGAGAGCCGCGCGGATGGAGGACAAGAGATCAAAGTGTGGGACGGTAGGAGACAACGGCCAAGTAGAGAAGGCCTGGCGGAGCGCAGTGATCCCATCACACGCCACATGGACTTGTGGCTTGGCAAGGGACTGTAGGCGTAGGCGGAGCCAAGAAGCCACCAAGATACCAGCTAACAGACCAATAAGTTCACTCCGGTAGGCACTCTGATCCTCTCGTTTGCCGGGTGTGCGGCACTTGATCCAGACAACATGCCCTCCGTGTCTAGTCCGTAGCTGGACTGCGGCGGTGCCCACTTGTTGCTTGAAGGAGCCATCGCTGATCACCCATAGCTTGCCCTTCTCCAGCGCCTCCAGTAGGACTTGTTTATCACCCTCAATGTAGATGTATTCCGGGCACTTGTCGGCCATGTCAGCTGCCAAATCCCGCCAGATGTGAAGGATCGAGGATGGCAACGTCTCCGGATCTGGTGGATCAACCGGGGCTGTGACAGTGACAGTGACATAGGCTGTCCGTGGGTGGAGGTCGACTGATGCCCTTTGGACGTCCCCAGGAAGTGGCCCCGTCCAGTTATGATGAAGATCCCGCCGGAAGGTCCGATGAGAACGGGAGTTGATGGGTCGGTAGATGAACAGGTAGGAGGCCGTTCGATGGAAGAGGATCGAAGACGTGCAAGAGAGGAGCCAGGTCCAGCGGTCCAGAGAATCAGACCACGGTCCAAGGGGCTGCAACAAGCGGCGACCACGGCTGTAGGGGCGGAGAACGGCTTGGGAGAGGACGCGTCGCCATAGGTCCCAATGAGAGGGGCCAGGGCGACGGGCACGGGGCCAATTGTAGCTGGTCACAAAGTGTCCAGAGGGTTGGCCAGCAAGAGAAGCTGCCGTCAGGGAACAACCGTCCGCGGTGGTGAGTTCCGAGAGGGTGGTGACTTGTGTTGGATATATTAGGATTTTCGAAGTACATATTTGGAGAAACGAGAAAAAGAGAATGCATGTGAACGATAGAGAAATGATGTCGACTGATACGACTAAAAATGAAGACTGATGCGACTAAAAAC